TAACTGCTCTTACACACGAGATATAAAGGGGGAAGAAAAGGAGAGAGAGGGCCCCCAAAATATCCGCGTGGGCCCTTCGATTTTCGAGGAGCACCGGCTCCCCCCTCCCTAATAACAGGGTACACCGAGGCTAAACAAACATACACGCCCCTGGCATCTCTCGCGTTGAAAGAACTCACGGAGGAGGAAATGTAAAATAAAAAGTGTAAGAATACAGAAACAATTTAGCCACGCCACTTAAAGGATGCGAGGTGAAGTATGATAAGTACCGAAAGATTCAACAGAAAAATCGAAGTATATATATACATATATAAGCCTCGCCTTCACGAGTATATTCGTAAATTTTAATTCGATCGAGAGAGTTCTTCTCGATATTTATCAAAATTGCACCGATGCGTATGTAATTTCGATCGATATTTATTACTCGAATAACGGCGCGAAGAAAGATACACTTATTGGAAATAAGAGAGAAGAAAAGGGGAGGAGGGGGAGATTTCGTTTCAATAGTAAAAAAAATAAAAAAAGATAACAATATTATTCGAAACGTGTGTATGTTAATCTTAATTTTTGTAATATAATTGAATTCGATGAAATCGTTTAATTTTTTCATTTTTACGAGCAACGTAACGAATCCGTTGATTTATTGCATCTTGATCGAACAACGGGTAAGTTAAATTGTTACTACGTATTTAAAAGATAAAAAGATATTATTCTTTGGCAAAGAATGTCCCTCAACATTTCCTGTCGATTTCTTCGAGTATTACTTCGCCATTTCTTAAAATGAAAGCCGAAACGTAGGTACAGAAAAAGAGAGAGAGAGAGAGAGAGAGGTTTGGAAAGAATCACGAGACCGCCATGTAATCAAGGAAAGTAAAGAAAGTAGAGGGAATGAGACGATGGTCGGTAGACATTGCATCTTGGGTTTACTAGTATTGTTTAGACACAGCTATACTTTTCTCAATTACTCTTCATTTTTAAAGAGTGTGGAGTATCATACATACAATTATGAGTCGATAAATTCGTGTGAATTGAAAGGAAAAGATCGTCGTCCCTTAAAATTGAAAAAGAAGTTCCTCTTCTCGATCTGAAACACGGAGCGTGAAAGTCTAAAATGGCTTAAGGGCCGATCCATTTGTCTCTAGCACGTGCAAAAGAGCAGCGAAGAGACGCGTAAAACGCGAGTGTACGCGAGGGTTCGAGGTATAAAAAAGAAGGCGCGTAAAAGGAAGGAAGAGATGAAGATTGAGGAGCGGTGGAAGAGAAGGAGGGATGTACGAGAGAGAAGGAAGCGAGGAGACGAAGGTGGATGAGACAAGAGCCATTCTGGTTTGTGGGCACAGCCGTTGCCCGAAGCCCACAATTATGATAATAGCCCCTGGTCCTGAGTCTTGTTAGCCCAAGAGTGGATCCCAACTCCTTTTATCTATGCCTTCTTATTTTTCCACGCTCATCCCTTCCGCTCATCCCCCTTTTCGATTCCCTTTCTACGATCTTCTACTCTTTCAACCCCGTTTTCGAGGAGCATTCGAACGAACGAATTTCGAAAGGAAATTTCGATCGATTATTTTTCCAAAATACGATAAAATAACTGAACAATTTACAAAGCTGTTACAAAGCTGTTTTTTCAAATGGCGAACACTCGCTGGTGAAAGCGGAGGTTTTAATTAAAAGCGCGGGAACAAACGTTTTCTCGTTAATTAAAAAAAAAAAAAGCAAAAGGAAAAGCGAGGAAAATCCATACTTTCCTCCCCGAACGCTATCCAAAGCGTTGAACATGTTTTTTTTTTTTTT